GGTATACCGTATGCGTTCGAATTGGAAGGGGGTGGCTTTCTGCCTGTCCGACGCAGCAGCGTTCCGATTCTGAAGCCTTATGGCACATTGATTGCTTGCAAGGATTCGTTGACATATGGGGGCGCATTGTTCAACTGCTGATGAGCTGAATCGCCGACTCGGCATGGCAAGGGCTGATTCTAGTCAGCCGGCCAAAATTTGGAAACCCACTACCCTCACCACGGCCAAAAAGTTGCGCATCTTTGATTCATGTGTCGCTTCACAAATGATGTATGGGATCCAGACGATTATGCATGTACCTAGCGATATGTGGTCTATGCCGAAAGCATGTTCCACGTTTTTTGTTTTGTTCTGGCCTGCGCCCTGAACGGGCTGCACTCTCGTGCATCGGGCTACCTGACCTGACCTGACCTCACAAATTTTCATATTGTCGCTTGGGAGTCCGGGGGTGGAAGTCCGGGGCAGTAGTCCGGGGCGACAGTCCGGGCTGGGGGTTGTGTGGTCAAAGTTGTGTCATACGGAGCCTGAACGCGCACATCCGGAAGTAGACGTACGTAACATTCTGTCTGAAAGCAAATTCGTGGTGCGGTTCACGCATTCAGTCCAGCAAGCGGTTTTCATGCTACAGGCAAGGGATGGCAAGGCTGTCGAATATGGGTCTCTACTTTAGGTGCTTTTGGCTCCAGCAAAGGTGATCTCAACTGGTTTGCCATATTAGTCAACCCCCAAAACGGCAGGGTCGAATTTACTGCCTCTAACGCATCCCACGAACGCCCCGTTTAGGGCCGAAGCTTTGGGGCACGTGTGAGCAACAGCGTGACATGATTGATTTCAGTCGCCTTGGTGTCGGAATCCGGCATAGCACGCTGCAATGTCTGTATTGGCAGTAACGTGAAGCATCCCCAAGGTGCACAAAATCTTGGGATTTGCTTTGTCCGCAGCTAAAAGCGGCTTATTGCAAAAACCTGTTGGCCAAAAAAATAAATAGCAAAGACCAAATTCTGGGACACCTGTGGGCAACAGCATGACTGGAAGATGTCAAAGAGCTGCATAAACGCGCGGGATCTCATGATTTTTTTTGTACAGCATCTTTTGCGGGGCACTTTTGCAAGCTGCAGCATGAAGGAATCAAATTTTGAGGTAGGCCGCACACAAACACAACTAAACGCCCTAACCCGATACATTGTTCTTTGTGAAGCAGCCCCAGGATGCAAAGAAATTTCATGTTGTTTTGCCCTCGGTTGGAGGGGACTTTTCTGCAAGAACATGTTCGGAAACGACTTGGTCAGAACGCGAAGAATTTGTGGCCAACTTTTGGCAGCAGGGGTTGGAGGGTGTAGAATCCCAACAGAGTCGGAAAAAATTTCCAAAAGCCGCGGATTCTAGACCCTGGGCTTGTTGGATGCGGGATCTCGGGATTCTAAACCATGTGGTACCTCCGGGGATGGCCGGGCCCACACCATTAAGCATGCTGCAGGCACGCCCGCACTTGTTGCGCGGGCCTCTGCGCCACATAATGCGTGAGGGCATGGAGCTCGTTCGCGACTCTCTGGATGCATCAACTGTCGAATCGGGTTGGGGGTTGTTCATGCTTGTGCTCCGCATGCTGCATTGTCGGTTCAAGGGAGTGAATGAGAAGGCCTCGTGTACAGTGACACATGGGCATGAACAAGTGTCAGCTGTCAGGCACAAAGGCACAAATTTGCAGCCCGCAACTTCCATCAAGTTTGACGCAGCTGCCACGACCTGTCAAGCGAAGACCGGTCACCACCAGCCATGCTTTCGGCAAGCCTGTACGCTTCAACAGCCCCAACATAACCCAACGTTTTCTTGGGCATCCGCGTTGGTGGTTTCCCTGTCCGTCAGTGACTTGAAACAATCACTGTGAAAAACACATGTTCTCATCACGTCTTCTGACTGTAAATGGGCCACACGTTTACGTAACATTATGCCTGTCTGTACGGCAGGATTTTGGTGGCTTGCCCGACGAATCTTGCGGAAACAGCTTGCGTGAAAAGCGCCTAACCTTCCCAGTTCGGCCTTGTCAAACCAAGCAGTGTGTGGGCAATAAGAAGGTTTCGACATTACGCATGCGTTGAAACCCCACAGTCTGCTGCAAGAAATCAATGTGAGGAGCGCTTCTGTTGCAAGCACTTTTTCCGATCGTTTGGCTGAGGCACAAGCAACTTATTATAACCCGAGCAATGAAATCAATTTCAAAAATTTCAGCCAACTGGATTTGGCTCTTACTATGCCCATTTGTCCACACACGAGGCTTTGACCCGACCTGGATTTGGCGATGAATTCATGTGACGATTTGGACGTGATGAATGACATTCGTTCACACTTGCAAATCCTGATAAAAATCGCATGATTTCTTTGTCACGCCACCTTGTCAATTCCTGCTTTTACTGCTCTGAGAAACTTGGAAATGGCCAACAAGTTTGCAAGTTTACTGGATGAACACATGCAACACCAATTAGGGTCTGAAGATGGTGGTTCTACAGTCGCAAGTGCTGTGCAATTGCATGACCGAAGTTTTTCATGATGTTGCTGGAGTTGCTTGCCGAGTTTCGCTGCAAATTGCCTACTCGCGGTCCTGTTTTAAAGCAGCAATGGCAATCGACTAGACCCTGTGTCTTCGCCAACGTTCAACGGCGCGGTTCAAAGCCGGGCCTCCAGCTCAGCTCTGCTGAGTCACTGCGGCCTAGGGCGGTGCTTGCAACCGCCAGCTGCACCGCCACTGATGGGGCACCCTCGCTCATGCAGAGGCTGCACGCCGGGCTGTGGGTGACCCGTCCAATATGAGAGGGGACACCAAGGTCGCATCGCAGCAAAGTGCGCCACCATGCGCTGTCGCTCAATATACACGACAAGGTCCAAGCGTCTGTGGTCCTGTGGCTGTACGCCACGCCAGGGGCAGTCGTGTGGGCGAGCCAGTGTTGTTGCACGACCTGGCCTTCCGGCACGTCTGGCCAACAAGCCCGCTTTTGGGCATGCGAAAGCGTAGTCGCCGAAGGTGTCCACTGTGCCGCCGCAACTGGGGGGCCGCACCTACTATGGCAAAGCGGCAATGAGCCATATTTTCGGCTTGCGGGCCCGCCTACGAGCGGAGCAGCGCTTGGGCACTCGTCGACAAAGCTGGCAACAGCACGCGATCGCGATAGTATCTGGCTCGAGTCCGCGTCGCATGGCATTGCCAGCCGTGTGGCCACTCGCCCGCTCCAGGACCTCGCCCCACTCCGTCCACACGTCGCCCTGCAAGGTCCGCCTGGCCCCAGTCGCTGCTTGTAGGCACGATGCGCGGCCCCCCCTTCTTCCAGGAGCTCCGCGCGCCTCTCGGCCCACTCGGGCAGCTTCTCTTGCATGGCTACCAAGGTGTCGGCCCAAGCAGCCTAACACGCTGCCGGTGCTGTGCGCTCAGCTGAGTGCAAACGTTTCTGGATATCGATTCTGCTGATGACCTTCTGCTTTGCTCAAACCCAGTTCAAAATGACAAAGCTGTTGGACGGCCGGCTCTCCGAGCATTGAACACAAAAATGCCGACCAACCAAAGACAAACACTTTTCTCAGCTAATCAGCCACACTGGCAACATGATTGACAGTCTACCGGCGGATGTGTCACATACATGACTGGGATGTTCATTTGTCAGTTCGCGGATCAGGAGCGCTGTCTTGTGAACGCAACATGTACAAACCACGTCAAAGGCATTCTTCCGCGCCATCGCAACGTCTTTCTGATACCTCTCGTCTCAGGTTCTTGGACGCAATCATCAGTCTTGTGGCGTGTTTTGCGGCTGGTCACGGGAAATGTTCTCAACAGACATTCGCAAATGATGCTTCGGCTTCAACAAGTGCAGCCTTGCCAGTTGAACAAGCTCGCGGCATGGCAGCCGATGGTGCGACTCATGTCAAGTAGAAAAACGCGGGACATGGACAACATCTCTTGAAAACTTTGCCCTGGTGAACCCTGTGCTTTGCAACAGCAGCTGCCAACAACAGATTTTGTAATGAATCATGCAATGAGTATTGCCAGTTTGCGATTGGGCAGTAGCTCCTGCAAATGTGACTTGCATAATGCTCTATCATGTTCTGTCCCACCCTAAAAGGAATGCCTTCGCGCGCTAAAACCTCGATAACTCTGCATAACACAGTTGGAGTTCACTAAGACAATGAAAAGCTCATGTTTGGGAAGCTTGTCTTCATCGGTTCTGGTGTGCCTTCGAAATTGTGAGCATGACTGTTTGCGCCCGCCTTGAATTTCAGATGCGACCAGCCCCATCACCCTCCCTCGCGTCAGAACTTTTGACTTATAAGTAAACGTTGGCTTCTATGCTCAAACTCCAGGCTGGTACTGCAGAGCAAGCCTGTCGTGCCGCCACCCCACTTCAATCGGGACCTGGGTCCGGCAACTGCTCACACCAAAGGGTGCAGTTGCTGTGACGAGCTCCCCCGAGCGCACTCAGAATTTGCAGTTATGCAACGATGGCGAAATCGCTGCAGGGGATGGCCTCAAGACAGCCACAGGTCCTTTTTGAATCCTGAGTCTTCACGGCCGAGATAATTCGGGGACGGAACTGTGCGCGCAGGAGAGGCTGGGCAAGGCCCCCCCACGCCAAACCCCGACCCGATTCATACCCTCATCATGTCAACATGCAATCAGCAAGAACGCGTTGTTTGTTACCGTGGGATTATGCCGTGAGGCAGGACCCTTTGCAGGCTTGGGGTTAAGGTAAGGCTGGTCCTCTTTGCAAAGCCTGGCGCTGTGCAGGCGAACGACCAAAAGGGTTGAGGCGCATGCGCGCCTGTGCGAAGCAACACATGCTCAAACCTCTGTGGAGGATGCGAGCAGCGTCGCCACGTAGTGGATTCCACCGCGACAACAATGCAGGCTGCAGGGCAGTGGCACAAACCCCAGGATGGCAGCCACCACGACTGACACGATCAAAGCCTCGACACCTCCTGGCGAGAGCAAAGAGAAAGCAGGTCCATGGTTGCACTCAAGCATCAGGGCCGATGGAAGTGAAGGCAAGCGCGCCGAAGAAGATGACTAGGACGCCCCAAAAACAACTGGCACGTTTCGTCCCTTTGAAGGCTGCGGTTGGGCGGGCGGAAAGGAACTGGCATGAGATAGTTCTAGCGGCTGTTATCTTAGGTGCTGCAATCACTCCAAGCCTTTCGGCGCAGGCACCAAATTGCATTAAGTGACAAGCATTTGGATTCATTATTGACACTGGCTTGTTGCTACAAATCCGCTCTTTTTCACATACTTGTCCATCCAGAACAGCCTGCGAAACATTGGCAGGCATGCCCCTTGAGGCTGTAGATTCACCTGACACGTGGTGGAACAAACAGACAAGAAACACCAGAGCCTGGCCGCAGTGCCTGTGGTTGTGGAAGCGCTTCCACATGGTCACAAAGAAACGCTCAATGGCACCAAAGAGCGCGTAGAGCGTGGCAATGTAGGCGCCTGACTAACGTGCATGCGCACCAGACCTGCGAATCTAGGGCCTGGCCAAGCCATGTGATGCTCAGCGCTGCACACCGCATGAAGAGGTCACGGCCCAGAGTTGGCGAAACCCCAACCTTGACACAGACTTCGTGCTCACTTGCTTCCAATAAGCTCCTCTCAAAACGCATCAAGCTATGTGCTGCGCACCCAGTGATCTTCGGCATCGTAGACGAGGTATGCATCTATGAGGAAATTTCTTGCCAGCATCAGCTTGTGGATCATGCCAGAGGCCATGAACTCATTGGAGGTGACCTTTTTCAAATTTGCGTTCCCTCGCTGCAGGCTTCAAATTCTGAGGCCTGTTTTTTAGTTCACTTCCATTAAGGCTTGCAAGCTTCAAACACACGCCAACGCGCTTTTTCCACATTCACAGAAACAAGCTGGGCTGGCTACATCTGTTCAACCCTGCGTTGGCAACTATCCACTAAAACATGTTGGAGTCAGAACCTATCATCATCATCCCCGCGTATTCTGAGCGACTGGCCGCAAAATTGTACAGCTGATTGAGGGGCGCACTGAGGATCTTAGTTTGTGGATATTGATATCACTGCAAGCCAAGCAAATCGTGTTTCTATTCTCCATGTTGTGTGTAGGCTAGGTTCTGCAGATCCCATGGAGGCAACGAAATCTCCAAAGAACCTCGTGAAGCTGTCAGTGTCAATTTTGCTCTCCTCTGTCTGCATTGATGTGCCTAAGGTGGCAGCTGTTGCGCTTCCAGGGGTAGCGGGAAGCCGATGACGTCTGCAGCCCTCGCAAGGCCCGCCTGACGTCCAAATCAAAAACTCCGATACCAACTTCCAAATCAGGTTACGTTTAGGGGGTCATCAGGCGTATTTAGACACGTCAGCACAAACGCCGTGTTTGTGCTGTGTGGGTTCTCTGCCATCCCCTGCCCAGACAGACCCAAAAAGCACTGTGGCCTGGCAAGGTGCCGAGAACACTCGTAGCCCGCTCAGCGCGACAATGTTCCCTCGGCTTTGCTTTGCAAACGTAGGTGCGTTGTAAACTCATAGCTGGCTCTACAGGTCCTGCTCTCCACAAAATATCCAAGAACATGCCTCTGATGCGTGGCGTGAGACGTCTCCGCCTTTGGGATGCTTAGCTTTAGATTGCCTTCGTTTGCTGCCTCGTACTACGGAAATTGGCCAAGAATTTCCATTTCACTGCAACCGAGTCTCGAAACACATGCGCAGAAGAGCCAGGGCCCCATGGCAAGAATGGGCTCCAAAGCGGTACCTGTCCAAGACTCAAGACAAGAGTGCAGCAAATAGAGCAAATGCACAATGGCCGCGACAGAATCGCTCTGGGCCTGCACGCCACCAACAAGGCCCTGATCAACATTGAAAGCCATTTGTGCCTTGCAGAATGCACAAAAACAATCTGCTGCACCATCACAACTCTAAGGTAAGCTCGCCGCATTGATGGTCTGGGATGGATAAGAGATGGTGCTCTCGGCAATGGAGCTGCACACGACCGCCAGCGGAGCAGACTCGAGCAATTCCTACAGCAGTCAGGAGTCGCTCCAAAACCAAATGCTGACAAACAGGCCTTGAGAAAATGGAAAAGAGGTCCCATAACGATAAACTGCGGGCAACTTGGAGGCACACATGCCAAGCCTGCCATCAAGGCTTGGAAGTTGACTGTGTTCCCGTGACTTGTTTCTCAAGAGACGCCCGCTTCATTATGTGTCATCATGCCTCCTGTCCAGCCAGCCGCGAAACCGCCAGCAAACACGTTGGAGTACAACTCCTCAATGCATACCCTGTCCACCTAGTTTTATGCAAGCTGACATGGATCGCTGAACAGGACCAAACTCCTCCGCAGAACTGTCTGGATTTTGGCTTGCCAACGTCAGGGCATTCCGGAGTGGCGTCAAAAAAAAGATGCCAAACCTCAAACATGCAAGCAATTTCGGCAATTTGGCGTGCATACTGGTGGTCTGTGGCACCAACGGACCACCAAAGGCACCAGCAAGGATGAGCGGGGTGTCTGGAAGTTTAACCTGAAAGGGCATGTCTGTCCATGAACGCAGTTGCCGTGCTCTGGCATTCTCTGCCGGCCGACCAGCCAACATCCCGACTAAGCGTTCCACCTTGGCTCTGTGACGGCAACACCTGCCTAGCCAGCTGCGTGAGACCCAGCGCAGTCCGCCACCAGGATTTGAAGCAGCGACATCACCACCTCAGCTTAATTCAAGAGGATTGTGGCAATCATGTTGAATGAGGTGTACAAGCCCTGGTACGTGGCTACTTGTTGTCAATGCAACTGTGCGAGGTTTCACACCACTACTTTCATAGGACCCTTCATAAGGGGGGCAAGGAATAAAATGCGGAATCTTGTGCAGGGATCCATTCGCAGCCGAGGATCTCATTGATCAACGCTATACCATCGGGCAAACTGCAGAATATATTGCTGAACGGTCATAGGTGGACTTAAATCTGTGCTGACAGCACTGCATCATCACAGCTGTATGCATGCATCCAACAAATGTAGCACATGAAGCGCTCTCCCCTCCCTGACGTGTGGGCTCTTGTGGGCCGAATTGTTCAAAAACATGGAAAATGCAAGACCCTCAAATTGTGTACTGGAGGAGCATGATAGAGCTTCAAAATGTCTTGTCTTGCAGCCTAAATCGGTAATCAGAGCTATTGAGGCTCCGAGCTGTGTTGCGTGTATTTTAACGTGTTTGCCTTCAATTTTCTTGCCTTCACGAACCTCAACAAAAACCATCACATTCGCACTTGAAGCCTGAAAGTACAGGACACGGCTCAAACAATTTTCTAGTTGGTCCCCAAACTCCACATGGTCGTGGTCCATGTTGTCATCGAATAAGGTTACCTCAAGATGTTAACTCAATCGCATTGGCTGCAATTTTTGGTATTAATATGCTGAAACATAGCCTCAATGCAGGCTTCTGCGTCTGTTCAAACCAAGCATGCTGTCCCGCTCTCATACCTGAGTTCGCGCATGCATGTTCTTGTCTCAAGTGCCCGAGGGATCCGCGCCTATAAAGTGCTCTCCCCTCGGGGCGGTCAATCAAGGCAAGCCACCCAGGTCAAAGAGGAGAAAAGGCGTTGCAGGGCCTGCCAGTGAGTGAAGCCCTCCCCTGGCCATGATCCTAGAGGCTTGCAATCTCAGCTTCGAAATTGCTACGGGCCCTTCGGTCTACCGTGCAAAGATGGATCCGGAGGTGAAGCTGTGACAAGAGGTAACATGCAAAAACAATCTGTCACAAAGATTGCTTGCGCCAGGACAACACAGTCTTGGAATTCCCACACCGAATGCAAAAATATGGGTTTTCTACACATGATTGTCTTACAAGGGGTAACAGTCACTCACAGATGTGACTGTTGACACTGAAACACGGGACATCACGGGACTGAGTTAAGTGGTAATGAGTACCACCTCACGCAACGACAACAGGAGCTTCACATGTGCATTTTTCCATAGTTTTGCCACAAACTCTACCAAAATCAGATCAGCTAAGAAACTGCCAAGTTGCAACTGTTATGAAAAAACAGGCAAGCTGCAAAGACGTCATCGCTTTTGACATGCACAACAACGTGATGAGGATGGCAAAGCAAACCAAAGTTTTTGCAGCACCGTTCACTAACTTTGACTGTGGTGAACGCACATCAAACCATGGTTCGTTAAAACTCTGAGTGAAATTTTTCCCCTCACACTGGTCAAGTCGATTCAAATGAATTAAGCTGCGAAAATGTGCCCAGATCTTACACGAAAAAAAAACAAAGTGTCAGTTGTGTTTTGCAACGGCCCAAGACACATATGATGCATGGCCAAGCCAGAAGTGTCCAACAACTTCGATATAGAACAAACCAAATCGCTCTTGAAAAAGGCGCCCGCCTAAAATGCAATAATTTTGTTTGTTGCCAAATTTTTGCGGCTCGCATGGTTGCTCTGCTCAACCAAGCCGATTCTGTTTTGCACCCACGCCGCAAACATAATTAATGCTGCGGTGCAAGACGTCCATTCCCAATAACCAAGTATTGTGACCGCTGCAATCACCACAATATGGCAAAGCGTTGGCAAATTCCAAAAAAACGATTCGACACAGCGAGTGGAAGAGCTCCAATACATGCTTTCCACAGCAGACGAACGCGCTGATAGGAAAGATTAGCGCGAAATTTTCATATGGATTCAAAATAAGTTTCCAACATCACAGTTTTTCGTAAATATTTTTGAAAAGATTTTCCAATTAATTTTAGAACTCTCTAAATTTAAGAACTGTTTCACAGCCTAAATTCAGCACTGCATCTTCATTAAGCAATGTTTATCTTGCTTCGGTAAGCAATATTGCTGAATTAGACTTGCTGAATTAAGCTTAAAAGTATAACGAAGCAAGATTGGGCTCTTTGAGGATCATTTTCCCAAAAAACAAACGGCGTCTCTCCGCTCCAACCCCCCAACGTAACCAATATATGATGTCAGAAATTTTTTTCTCGTCGGATTCGGCGGCAGGCTTTCCCACTCATTGCGATATTGCGCACATGTGTTCCACTGCCACACGACATGTCCTATGTCCAGCGAAATCAATCGGAAGCGCCAGATTTCTTACTGAATGCGCAGCATAACTAGTTCGTCTTTTTAAGGATTATGCTATATTGCGCTCTTCTCATTACACTTGTTTCAGCCTACCGGCCATCGAAAATGATACATCAGCAAGGCTTTTTCGTGCATAAAGGATCCGACGTCCTTTTAATCTTAGAGCAATCGAGAAGACATCTGACCGGACCTTAGTTTCGACAGGTTCTAGAACAGTGAACCTTGCCGTGTACGACGCCGCGCAAAGAAAACTTTTCTGTTGTGTGATTCTTCCGCGCGCGCGATGCCGCCCACAAAGCTCTTCAGAAGGGTACATGAATTGATTGCTTCTGAGAGCTCTGTATCAAGTCTACCCAAGTGGTATAACACGCTTTTCACATTAGGAAATCATGCAGAAACATTGGAAGAACTTGTCCAAGTAGCTTTCACAAGGTACTGTCTTTTCTTGATCTTCTGCAAACTTGCCCAAGCGGCACTCCAAGCTGACTGTTTCTTCAGCACTGCAAAACATGCCTTATCGGCACGCAAAAGTAACTGTTAGTATTGCAAAACATGCCTAATCAGCGCTCAAAGGTGGCTGTCTCGTCAGCATTGCAAAACATGCCAAGTCGGTGTCAGAAGTAAACTGTCTTCTCGGCATTGCAACACATATAGAATGTATAAGGGGACACGGCTGTAGGCCGTGGGGTGCAACCAGATCAAGATCTGGTCCGGACGCAAGGTCGCCAAGCTGGCGTAAGAGCTGTTGAAGGCTCACAAATTTCTTGGCACGGCTAAGGGCAACGCGGATCGCTGACAAGGCAACGGAACACCTTTCCGTAGCTGATCTCAGCACGCAAGCCAAGATTGGTGCAGGGTGCCAGAAAGGCTCATAAAAAATGAAACAGGGCAGCAAGTGAACAAGTTCAACAAACCGCAGGATTCGTTTCACCTGGGCATGTTCACAAGAGCCAGACAAAGTGTGACAAGTACGGCAGGAAAATTAGTTGCACGTAATGTTCCAACCATCACATGCGGGGAGCTTTTTTGGACAGGCAATTCAAAGCATGTGCAGTCGGAAGATACAAGACAAGAGACAAGAGCGTGAGTGGAGCTAGCGCTTCTTGTGGCATGCTCTTGATCAGCGTATGAGTCGGTTGGTGTGCTGGATCAATGTGTGACGAGTTTGGATTTCCCTTCAATTCTAGCCTTTCTTTGGCCATGATGATCCGTTTGCGGAATTGATCCAGTTGATTATTGCCGTCTGAGGGACATTTGATGACAGTCGCTTCAGCAGTGCCAACATGGTGACACTCCTTGCAAACAATGCTGATGTCTCTGGCATTACACACTTGCCTTGACTTGCACGTTGGTCTTTCATGCGAACATTGTGTGAAGTCCTTGGTAGGAGTCAAACTATGACGCAATTGCCCCTTGACAGTTCCGTGCTTGCTTTCATTTTGACGGTCATTGGAATTGCTGATTGCACTTGTTTGAAGGTACATGAGCGTGTCTCATTGCTGCTTGATTTGAATACCAGATTTGCTATACTTCACCTTGACCGGTGCGACAGAGCGCTTGCGAAAAACAGAAAGCAATTTCATATGATTCAGATTTGAACAAAATTGCTTCAATTCGCAAGCAGCAAATAAGAATATTATATTTGAGATAGATTGAGTCACAAATATTTCACAGGAATATGGGCATGTGGTCCGCCAGGCAAACAAGGTGTTGTACATAGCTTTAGGTGCAAATACAACATGACCCCCAGCCAGGTGTACGGGATGTGATGTGCTTCGTAATGAGGTCATGTCACGTATTTTTTTTTTACATTGGGGGCATAGTTCAGGCTGGATGCGTCATGGCATTGCTTGCTTCATCCGCGACGTCAACACATGACACTTTTTGTGATTGATTTGAGACAACATATTCGTGTGTACTTTTGGAGATGCCTTTGGGTAGGAGATTTTCCCGCATGCGCCTTTGCTTATTTCCATATGCGGCTATGAATAGTGCGTAGAGAACTGCAATGCTGGATAATTTGCGGATGGCATTATACTTCTGTGTACCAGCCAGGTTCAACACGCAAATTGTGATGTCGCCACATGTTGAGCAGTGCTTGCACGACACATGCACAAAAAACCCGTGGGTTCAATGTCATACCCATTGGAATTTTCAGATTATGTGAGTTGTTGTCCAACCGTGTTAGCTTGGATCATCGTTTAGAGAATTGCCAGCGGTTGTCGTCGGGTAGCGAATATCAATATTTATGGCAGGTGTTTGCACCATTATGGATCCAATTCTTGGCTCGCAGTTTGCCTTTTGACCGAATCCATTCCAAAACCAACAATTTCTTTTTTCATTCATGTTTTTGGTTCTGCTCATGTGCCAAAGGTATATGCGGTACACCCATCATTTGAATCAGGTGCTGAGACTTTAAGGCGTGCTTGCCAAATTTGCATGCAATGCTGTCCAGCCCGACGCATTATAGGCCCGGCCTTCACAAACTCCAATAAATTTGGTCAGACATAGGGGATTGTGGTTGAAGATCCGGCTTACAGTGCAGAAGAAAATGTCCCGAAGGCAAATTGCGCAAGCAAGAACATCATGGATGCCACAACGCTGCGCCAGGGGCGCATGCAGGAGACCAGCTTGCGTCCATCGAATGGCATTTGAAGATAAGGGCGTCATGAAATCTTGCATTGATTGCCATGTGTTGATGTGTCTTGCAATATGGTGCAATGTTCATGTCAGGTTCCCTTAGTGCCCACATCCAAAAACTGGGATGGGGCGGTTGCCGCCACCTTGGTGATTTCTGCGGTGTCCTGTTCGCAGTGTTTTGGCATCGCGCAGCAGTATTGTTTGAGTTCATTCCAGGTTTGGTGCTAGGAAAATGCAGGGGACGAGACTTAGTTTACATGAAGAACGAAACATGGGCCAACTGTGGCTGAGGGGTGGCTCTGCTCTCTCCCATCTTTTTTGTAGAGATTGCAGGCAGTTTGCTGGTGATGTTCATTAGTCTTGGAAATGTGTCTGAGGAGCGGATCCTCGCGGAAGCTTTCCCAGAAGCACATCGGATCAAGATCCCGAACGCACAAGTTCGGTGCTTCGCTTGACCTGGTGGAGAGTGGAGCAGCTACGCATTTTTTTATCCGTCAAATGTAACTTTCGCTTAGTTGCAATGCGTCTCATTGTGACGAGTACAGCCTCAAACCAGGGTGTGGATTGTCAAAGCCCAGGATCCCTTGCACGCAACGTGCAACCACAGGAGCATGAAACCGAGTCTTGCAAGCGATGAAGACTTTATGTTACGTGTTTATTTCGCACGTCAATCACATGGTCCTTGTTTTTGGCAACCTAAGGATGTGGTCGTGATTGGAAGTGGCCTGGGTGGTTTGAGCTGCGGAGCTGTTCTCGCTTCTGCTGGTCGAGAAGTCACTGTGTGTGAGTCACACTACCGGCAACTTGATTGACACTGATATTTCAAGCACGCTTGACAACGCCTGAAACACATACTACAGTGCCACAGGTGAAAAGTTCGAAGTATGCAGCACTGAATGCATTGCGCTTGTTGCAAAAGGCTCGGTGGCGCGTGCCATACTTTCAGCGCGAAAGTCCCAGAGATAGGGGCGACTTGGCCGCGAAACAGGTGTCATCTTGTACCTGGCAAGCGGGAAGCCCTGTCACATTGCATGCCTGAGGAATTTCATTTTGAGTCTGGGCCGTCATTGTACAGCGGTTTGAGCCTGGAAGCTAGCCCTTCCCAGCTGAAGCACGTCCTCCAGATTGTTGGCGAGGACTTTGCTCAAAGGTTTTTGTTAAACTCCCTTTCTGCATGCTGGTGAAAGTCGTCGAAGAGGAGCCTGAATGGATTTCTTATGATCGCATCCTGTCTTGCAATGCAGCATCTCATGAGTGCCTTTGCAAGCAGTGATACTTCCATTTCCCGGCCCAGGGTGGAATGCTTTCTTGCCCGAAGGGGAGGTGAACGTTGCCGTCGGCTATCAAGAAGTTGTTGAGAAGTTGCTCCCAAAGTATGGAGGCGCAGATCAAGTGGGTGAATAGGAAAAAGCTCAGTGGACGGTTTGCAGCCGCTTTTGCATCCGCCTTTTGCAGGTCCGGATGCGGTGGGTCAGTGGCAGAGGCTGATGGCGGAGCTGAAGCCCATGTCCTCGGCTCTTTACAACAGCCCGCCCTTTGGTGCCCTTCGGGACGATTCGTTTGTTCCTATCACAATGGGAAGATATGCCAGGCGGAAGAAGGATTTGCAAATTCAGAAAGTCTTTGTAGACTGCAACTCCCTTTCTGAGGCGGCTTCTCCCGTTGTTCAGCATCCCTGGAGGCCGATGCCCACTTCCTACTCTAACAGGCTCCTCTGAAGTTCCTCTGAACTTCCTGAAGGTGCAGCCCGTCTTTCCCAACCGTTCGAGGTGGACGCACCCCCTTTAGGGCACTTCTTCAGAGAGAGCACAGCCAATGCTATTTTGACTTTCCTGGAAGTGCCGGGGAGGCCTTCTTGGACGAAGCTGGCGTTTCAGACAAGTTCATCAGGCTGATCGGGCTTGGGCTTGGCAGCGGCCACGAAGCAACGGAAGCAACCATTTCCAGCCAGGAACTACCTCAGTCTCTTCAGCTTCCTGCTACAGGGTCTCCCAAGCTATGGTTCCCCAACATCCATGATGGTCGGGAGCTTTGCTGTGAAAGCATCAGCCAGAGACTCGAGAGAATGTTTTATTTGGATTTTTGTGCAAAGGCCTACATGATGGCCGATCTCTATCGCAAAGGCGGAACATGTCTGGACCTTACACAGCTCAAGCTTAAGTTTAATCCAAGCCTAGCAGCTCCAGGCTTGGATTATCCAAAGGGTGGCTCAGAAGCCATTGTCCAGGCATCAAAGGGCAAAGTCATAATTCATCTTATTCGAGTTCATGCTCTTTATCTTGAATTGAATTTGTGTGACTTCACTGGGTGCCTTCAGGCACTGGTGAGTGGCATCGAGACTAAGAGCCCTTCCGGAAGAGTTTGGACCAAGGCAAACCCATAAACCTTCACAGAAGTGCGCTTCCGTTTGCTGTCACAGGCCCACGTGGAGGAGATTCTGGTTGAGAGCGGCAGAGCTGTCGGCGTGCGCCTGCGAAATGGCAGCATTCTGCGAGCGCGAGAGGCAGGCCAAGCGGCTCAGTGGCTTCACAGCATGGCGGATTTTGCTGGGCCTTGCTAGGCTGTCATTTGTGGCACGGACGTTGGTGTTGCAAAGAGCTTGATTAAGGACAAGGCCCGCTTCTTGGCATTCTGTCATTCATTTTCCTCCTGGCATCATGGCACCCTTGACTGAGGTCCCCGAGCTTGAGGCTCACTTTCAGGACCAGGCTAGCGGTCAATCCACGATTGGCCAGTGTGGAACCTTTTCAGGACCAGTGGTCGAGTTTTGAGCCGCTCAAATCCTTCATCCACATTCATGTCGCCTTCCGAGGAGAGGCCGGTGCTTGTTAACTTGTCAGCTTTGATGCGCTCAGAAGTGTTTGCGATTCTGTGATGTCCTCAGGGCTTGCCTCGACAGCACTGTCCAGAATTTCCGGCACAGTGGGGTGTGGTGGATCACTGGGAGGACCTGGAAGCACCCAGGCTCCTGCAGATGCGATTTGCAGCACCTGTATTCAGCTCCCCCCCTTTTGTCAGGAACTGCGTTCTGGTGAGTGTGCCTTCACTCCTGGACGATGGCTTTGCGCCCGAGGTTAGCTTCCGTGTCTACTTTCTGTTGGCAGTTTCGTTGTTGAGCTGTCATCGCGAAGGGCTACCACAGCCTGCACGCTTACACGCCTGCCACTGAGCCCTGGGAAGATTGGCAGGTGCACGCCTGACACTCACGCTGGCATGCTTGCCCCCGCGCTTGGAGTCAAAGTGCAGAGCCTGCAGGAGCTAAGCAAAGATGAGTTGCCTGGCAAAAGATACGAATGTGCTGTGTTTGCTGAGGAAAGGTGTCCTTCGTGCGGTTCCGCTTAGGTACCAGCGAAAGAAGCGTGAAGCAGGGGACTTCTTGTACAAAGCAATCCAACGTCAAGTTTCTGATCCAGCAAAAGGTAGTCGTTGTCTCATTGTGAATAAGATTGAGTAAGCCTGGAAGCCTAGGTTCCAGACATACGCTCCAGAGTCGTGTTTGAGAAAGTCGGGACACCATTGACTCATGCGTCAGGTCCTTAATGGTCCGTACACGTTTTGGAGCGGCAGAGTGCCTCCACACTTGACCCAGCTGTATTCACTTCAGGCGTTTCTTGCGAAAGCCCCGGGGTGCATATGGGTGGAGGGCCCTAGCCTCGGCACTCCATTCTAATGCTCTGCGGAAACAGCCAGAAAAACTCCGAAAGAAGGTGCTGGCAGGTTCCAATCTCCCAGGACATACAACTCCATTGCCAGGACTGGGCCTCTTGTCGGTCCTGGAACCGTGCATCGGCCCAGGGCTTGAAGTGCGCTCCACTCTGGCTATCCCAATCATGCTTGCAGGACTTCACGTATGTGGTGACTCCACGTATCCTGGAATTGGAGTGCCTTCCGCAGCAATGAGTGGCCATATATGTTGGGCTCTCAGCATGTGTGTTTGAGGAGAGTAGAGTAGGGACACAGTGTGTAGCAGCAAAGCAGCAGCTTGCAAGGTGCAAACAACATACTATCCGTCGCAGAGCACTGGAGCCTCCTTGACAGGATACCTGAGTGGCAATATGAGCTTGACATGTGACGCTAAAAGAAAAAGCTTCCGGCTTCTGTGCACCGCAGGTGACGGCCTCAATGCAAACCTCAAGAGCTTGTTCCAGTGGTTTCAGTTTTTAGCAGCTGGGATTCGTTCATGGCTGTAAAATTCCGTAAGCAAGCATCTTCTGATGTATCGAGGGAGGTACCAAAGTTGAGTATGGCCCTGCTAGTATTTTGATTGCGACCCTTTCTTCCACATTGCTGAGCCAATGGTGAAGGGCATCCGCTGTACAGATCTTGGGATGCCAGGAAGACGTTGGCCAGCCTTGATGGGTACTCGCATGTTCATGTTCTGGCCGGGTCGGACAAGAATTTGGTGCCTTCTTCTTGTGGCAGTTTGCCTTGGGACAAATCTTCGTACAGCTTGGGTGGGACATACAGCCCAGCGTTGTGCTGAGAGGTCATCAAGGCTTGGCACACCAAAAAGGTGTGCACGTCGCGTTCCCTCGCCACCACAAGCTGCAATCACTTCTGCCGGTAAGGATCTTGAAGAAATTTTGGTTCACGCGCACAGCATTGCTGATGAGCAGTTCGCTTCGATCTGGAATAGCATTGCTCACAAGGGAAGGGATGGCGGCGTTCCTGGCTTGCGCGCGTGGTTGAGCCGGCTGAACCTGACCGACCACATCCATGCAGCAGTGTTTTGGGCAGATCGCATGGGTGCGTGTGCCCTCGAAGAGATTGTGGAGAACTTCGATGACTTTGCAGCAGATCTTGGCTTAGGTGACAGAAAACTAGAGGCTTGCCAGCATGCTGAAGAGGTGGCAGCCGTGGATGTGAAGCAGCGTCACATGAATGCTAGGGAGGCCGACGAGTCTCTTTTGTACTTACTGCTGAATTGGCCTGATAGTCACATGCCGTTTGAAGACTTTGATTCCACCTTTGACGCCACTTTGAGGTCACTGGGAAACACTGGCTCCGGACTTGCATCCTCTCTAGAAGAGTCCTTTAGTCGGGAATGGAGAGAGCGCTTGAAGGCAGATCTGCAGTATCTCCGAGTGATGCGGGAATACTTTGCACTTCATCTTCCGCTGCCGCCATGTTTGGACACGCACAACTTGACTTGGACCTTCTGTGGTGGCTCAGAGAAGTGGCTGCATGTAGCAGATGCTGCTGCCTTTCCAGTCACGTTGCTACCCTTAACTCGTCCTGTTCGTCAAGCCATGGAGAAGGCTATGCTCAGCACCCAGGGCTCGCAGCTGCTGCGCACCTATATTGCCTCAGAGAGCGGACTGGCGGGTATCGGCAAGGATAGGATCCTTCAGCTGGTCAATGCCTCAAAGCAGCTGATCTCGAGAGCAGTGAAAGAGTTGGCCGGTGCCAGCGGCCTGCCCGACTGGAATCGATCAGTGACAGACGGCTTGGTCCCCATTGCAATCGTCAAAGATAAATCTCAGAATAAAACGGAAATAGCCCTGCAGATTCGTGAATTTTTTGAATTCATGTCGAACACCCGTGTCGCCCAAGCCGACAGGTACTTTGGTCATGTGCTCTTCGGCTACATGCTGAGTCGTCTTAGTCAACGCTTTGATTTGGTGCAAGGCTCGGGCCTGCTGAACTTAAATCCAGATGTTCAGCGCCTGAAGCTTACATACCAAATGTACAACGATGGGTCCGGTTTATCGCAAGAGGAGATCGAAGAAAGACTGCGCGAAGAGGTTTTCGAGCAGTTCGTCCGAGTGTCATTGGATTCCGAAACAGCCTTTGCGGATCTCGTGCATGTGAGCCAGACATCGGTGCAGGCAATCCGCAGGCACACAGACCAAATTTTCGGTCATGGCTTGCGTGAAGAGGTCTTCGTTCCCTTGACGCGCGCATCGCGTGCAAGCGCAGAGAAAGGTGAGGTGGCTGCGGGTCCCAAGAGGTGCATGGAGTTTTTGTTAGAAGCTGCCCGAAATTCAGAGTTGCGCATGCTTTCCTTGAATCTCCCCGCCTCTGAGCGCTTGATGTGGCATGGCCTCGTTTTTGGGGCCTTGCTGCAAAAACACGAGCTCGGAGCAGCCTAGAGCAGCTTCAAACTCTGAGATTCAAAGCGCGTGAACTTGAACAGCCTGCCTTTTCAACTGGTGTACTATTTTTCAATTTGCAGCAAAACAGTTCTTACCGCTGCTTCAGTCTGAAGCCTGGTTTACAGGAAAGGGGGAAGGCAATCTTCAGTGGTATAGCATGCACGTCCTGAAAAGATCCCGAACAACCCTGAGCCTCCAACAGATTCCCAGAGTCTTTGTCGCTTCGTGCAGCCCTTGCCCAGCATGGCACCACCTGCAAAGAAGGCAAGCTGTGGGGTAAGGTGTCAAGGCTCTCGCATCATACTCTGCACTCAGGTGCGAACTGCGCAGGGATGTAACATTTCTGCATTCTTCGGGTCCGGCCCTCAGCTCCACAGCGGCTGTTCATACACTGGATCACTGCATATGGCTGCACCAGCCTCTAGAAGGCCAAAGAAAACCGTTGAGGCGAAGCTTTGGATGTCCAGTAGATGTCCGGAGCTTCTCGCAACGCGGAGAAAGTGCAGGCATCGCCCGAGAAGCCGGAGGTCAAGCCGGAGATAAAACCGGAGATCAAGCCGGAAACTGCCACAGAGCCTTCGAAGGCTTCAGGCCCGTGAAATTTAGGTCGCATACTGAAGCCTGTGCTACTTGTGCAGAGGTGAAGTCAGCACGCCCACGAAAGATGAGCCAAGCCAAAAAAAGAGCCTGTCTCTAAGCAGCTTCGCCTGGCGCTTGAGGTTCAAAGCTTTGGGTTTATGTGCAGGCGCATCTCTACAGACTTTGTTAACACCAGAGAAGTCCGACGCCCAGTGCAGTTGTGGTTTTCGGCAGTTCTTCTTTGGAGCGTGTAAAGTCTTGATCAGAAGGTCAAATCCGCCTGTAGCTCGCAGAGTTGCAACTGCTTGCAGTGGCCGATTCCAAAGCGGCTTCACGTGTTGGACGCCCAGCTCAGATCAAACATCAGGTCTTGAAGAACCTCAAATGGGCTGAGGTGACAAGGCGAGCAATTGGCAGCAGAGCCTTTCCGGAAATTTGCGGAAATGCGCAGAAATTTTCTGGCAAAAGAATACGGTTTCACCTCTGATTTTGAAGTTGAGGTACAACAACCTTTACCGCCTTCGGCTCACACAGCTGGCAGGCGGGGCAGGCGCATTATGGATGGACGTGAGGGAGGCAGGCGTTCTTTTATGGCGTTCTTCTTCTGCCCTGCAACGAGGTGCCTGTCGTGACGAGGCTCTGAGCGCCTGGAGAGAGAATCTAACTTGCCGGGACTGGGTCTGGTTTCAGGCAAAGCAGCGGTGGAGCTCCATACCAGCCCAAGGTGCATGCTTCTTCAAGCGCAGAGGTAAAGTTGCACCATGACGGCCTTTGAAGGCTTCCTTCAAGACCTGAGCGAGTTCAGGGGTGGAGATGATTCAGAGATAGTGGTCGTGGGCATATTGTTCAAGGTGCCGGATGTTGGAGCCAACCTTGTGCTTGATCCGGCAGAATGCAGGAGCTGCACAACCGTCCGAATGTCATTGATGAGCTGCGTGGCAAAGACTGGCACCTTGGCTGGGACGTGGAAAGGAAGCCGTGCTGCGCAGGTACAAGGGCAGCAAAGCTCTGCTCAGCAACTCCAAGGCATATTTGTTCTTGTCCTCCTGGGCATTGTCCCGACACCAACGCATGTTGTCAGGAAGAAGTACAGATCCTTTACTCCGACAAGGATGACACTTTGTGGCTGGAGGACCTAATTATTGGGTACTTGGACCCTCAGGGTTAGATATCCAGCACAAAACTGCTGGACGTCTAAGATACTACCAGCACGCGTTAGGTTGCTCTATATTGGGACAATAAGCTGTCCCACTTGCTCAAATTTTCTGGTTCCCGCATCTGGAATGACAACATACGGGCCCTTGTCGCCTTCCTGGAATTTGGGTGGGAGCTCGCTTAGGAAGACAAAAATCACTTAGGATGAGATTCGTTCCGACTTATCGGAGGCTTGAAGGGAAGAAACGTGACAGAGGCCAGCCTTAAACGGCTCCCGCACTTTAGGGTTTCGGGCTTGGAGGCTTCAGGGTTTTTAGGGCTTAGGGTTTTTAGGCTTTAAATGGATGTAGCGTTCTCAAGGTTTGGGGATTTCAGGATTCAGGAGTTTAGGGTTTGTAGTGGTTTTCGGGTTTAAGGCGTTTAGGGTTTGAGGTTTTTAGGCTTTAGGGTGTTTAGGGTTGAGAATTTTCAGGTGTTAGGGCTTTTAAGGTCTTAGAGCTTTTTATGGTTTGGGGATGTCAGGATTTAGGAGTAACACATCACGTAGGACGAGATGAGCATGAAAATTCAATTCAGGAAGCAAAAGCAATCACTTAGGGCGAGATTGGGAGGCACTCGACAGCAGAGCGCCCTAAACCCGAAAATCACATCCCTGAACCACAAAAACCCCAAACCCTGAAAACCCTAAACCCTAAAAGACCTGAAACTTAAACACCCCTCAGCACTAACAGCCCTAAATCCTGAAAACCCTCAGAGCCCTAAACCCTTAACCCTAAATCCGTTAAACACCCTAAGAACCGTAAACCCAAAACCCTAAAAACCCTAACCCCGGAACCGTGAAATTCTTGAAGCCCTAAACCTTGAAGAACCCCAACCCTTGACCCTTTCGCGCCTTAACCCTGAAAGACCGCGTTCCCTAGAGACCCCCCAACTTACTACCCTAAAAATCCCAAACCCCAAAAAACCCTAAACACCCTAGACTGAACCCCAAAAACCCTCTGAACCCTAAAGACCCCCCAAATACCCTAAATCTTAAAGCCCTCAACCCTACGAAGCCTAGACCCCAAGAACCCTTAACCCCGAAACCCTAAACTTTTGAAACCCGAAGAACCCTAAACACTAAGAACTCTAAATCCTAGGCCTAAAACCAAAAACATCAAACACACAAAAATCCCTGGACCATAAAACCTAAAACCCTTGCAACCCTAAACACCTAAAAAGCTAAACCCTGAGAGCCCCAAAA